CATCTATTGCCATTTTAAATAACCAGATTTGCAGAGAGAGAATACAGGATATTAAAAATATAAAAGTGCTCTATTATAGAACATAAGCTCAGTTGCTGGATTTATTTACATTATTTGTTGAAGCTTCACACAAGTCGAGGAACAGTCAGATGAACCTCCATGGACAATAGTGTTATTAGACACTGACTACTTCACATCCAAAGTCTTGGGCCAGGAGCAATTTCCACTCAAAAAGTGTATGTTGAATATCTCTAAGCCATTCACTAATTTCTACAAGATGGGAGGAGAGAAGAGGTTAAAGACTTTGTCCTTGTAGAATTTATAAGCCTGGTAAGTCCCACTGGGAGAGCAGAGATCAAGAACTCTTCAGATAAGAACATTGTGCACCTGGCTGTTAGTGTAGCTGAGACTAGGAAATTTCACCAAGGCCATGCAGACTCCCCCACTTGCAAATGGAATACTGTTCAACTCTATGATAAACGCCTAACGCCACAATTGCCTATGTTCCTTTCTTACTGGGATGCTTATCTACTTATTCTGCTATTAAAATACATCTCAAACATAACAGAAAGCTAACGCTTAGGGTAAAAATAGTATTTCTTAAAAGAAATTACATAAGGCAGAAAACAGCCATAACTAACCTTTCTTGTGCATATTCTAGAAAGGACACATTACATTTGTCAGAAATTATTCACAGTTTTGCACAACATCTTTAGGTGTCAAATATAAGATCATGTACAGAGGCAATATAGGTTATAAAAATAATCTTTGGTAAATTTGTTAATAGATTTATTTCCATTCCCTAAACTTCTATTTTAGGAACATTCACCAACAATTTCCTTATTTTATGAATGTATCTATATAGACAACCTCTTTAAAAAAACAAAATGCTTTATTATATTGCATACATTTATTTCAAGGGAGCTCCCCTACAAGTAAAGAGTATTCTTTTAGTCAGAAATATTTCCATTGCTAGAAACATTTTTAGAACAGAACAGATTTTTGTATTATCATGGCTGCATCAAATGATACCCTGCATTTTGACTAAAACGGCCATTTTCAAAGGCCTCATCCACTACAAGAATCTATGTTCAGAATTCCAAAATCAGTCAATTTAGTCAAACACCTGGTCAAATTACAAAACCAAAGAAATCGGTTCAATTGCTTCATCAGCTAAATCAGTGATTTTCAACTGGAGTGCAGAGGCGCACTGATATGCCACAAAATTTTTAAAACACACAATACCTACTCTTGTATCCCTTAGATTATAAAATGACAGCAGCCAACACAATAGCCATCCAATGTGAATGAATCAAAATTATACTTTTTTTTTTGTCAGATTGGCAAAAAATATTTTTTGGTGTGCCGCAGAATTTTAGTAATTAGTTTATGTGTGCCTTGAGATGAAAACGGTTGAAAATTGCTGAGCTGAATCATCTGACCAACGTCATCAAAGTGACTTAATTCCCCAAAGGATAATAGGTGCTAATAGAAACATGACATTTCTAAAGAACAGTCTGGATGCCGGAAGGACTGCCATTTTCCCTTCCTGATGATGTCTGGTTAGATCTCCTTTTCTAATATTTCCCTTTCCTTGCAGCATTTCATTTGCTCTCAGCAGTCATCGTTTACAGATTTTCCGTTAAAATACTCAGAAACTTAGGACATTTGGGCTGCAGTCGGTTCCACTCTTCAGAACTGAGGTAGGGTTGAGGGTTTGCTCACAGCCACCTGGAGGAGGAGCAACCATTCCTTCTTGTCACTCTGACCAATTACTTTCTTTCCTCAATGAAAAGGAACCTGGAAAGTCCTTGAACTGCTGCCTCGAACAAGCAGCTTATTATCTGTTGTTGTTCACCAGGTCAATCATGTGTGTGAACTTCAGTCTGGAGGACTCCAGAGTTGGGGCTTGGATCCTACTACTTGCTGTCAGACACATCTGGCAGGTTATGGTTTCAGGATTCTGACCTCAAAGGCCCAGAAAGCCAACTGAATGCAAAGTTAATAGATGGCCGGTCATTTTCTTGCAAAAGGTAAGAGGAATGTTTAATATAAGAAACTGCTTCCTGAGACGCTAAGGCAAGAGAATCAGACTGTGAAGTGTAACATGTAACTGTTTCTGTATTGCTGGACAACTGCTTAGTAGTTTTACATTATTTTCACACGTCCTTTTGGGTTTTCTTCCAAGACATAATAAAATTAACTCAAGACCCTCCCAAACAAAACTGTGTCCAAAATGTCTGTGTGCTGTGGTCATTTTAGTATTGAAAAGTGTAGTCATGGTTGTCTCTTCTATGAGATGGAGCCTGAGAAGACTACAAAATGCTAATGAGTGTAAGGAGATAAAATGAACAGAAAATAAAATCACATTCAACTGGGAAAGCAAAGGTATTCTAAAGGAGAAGTGGGCAGGCAGGTAGTGAGTGAAAAAGAGGACCCCATAATCGTTCAGGGATGGCAAATCACGAAGGACCAATGTGTGTAGGCCCAGACAGGGAAATGTGCCTTTGAAAAATCAGATTCAAGAGCTGAAAACTGGCTGCTATCCAGAGAACAACAGAATGATGATACGAAATTGACTTAATGAGTAGAGATTAAAGGAGTTAATTATAAAGAACTTGGGTAAATAATGATTAAGATGCAAGAAGGGCCTCTCCCAAGGTTGGATAAGTCAGAACACTTTGAAGATGATGATTAAAGTGTGCCACACAGGTGCACAGACAGGATGCCCACCAGGACAGGAAACGGAGTGTTTACCAAGGCAGAACACGGGAAGGGATTGAATTAAAATACATCCAATTGAGCTGAATGTCAAGGAAACCTTTTTTTTCTCCCTCCTAAATTTAATAACTAGACCAACTAGATTACATATTTAGTCTTTGGTGGCGGTGGGAGGGAAGTTAGGGAAATAATTGTTGCTAAGGAGATTTAAAATTAGATAGGTGGAGGGTAAGAATAAATATTTCCTAGATTAGACCAAAAGAACATACAGTTTTCCCTTGTCGTGTCCATTTCCACGACTCTGATTCCACCCCAGACACACCAGGTATGTGGGTGTGATTGGCTGCCACAGATATGTAGTTTTTTGTGGTTTCAATTTTTGGTTTGTGCAGTTAATTGCTCCCTTTTCTAGATCCGGTGTTTGCTATGGACGCAGCATCAGCACTGGCCAGTGTGGCCTGGGGAAGGCTGCCCACTGCTGTGGACTGGCGTGGCCACCTCGCTGCCTCCTTGAGGCCCTTTCGAGCTTCACTGAAAATAGTAACAGCAACCTAACTCTGTTATTGTGCTGCATTCCTTATGTCAGTAGGAACGTGTAGTTTCTAGGACACTGCCTAGTAGGCTGCAGGTACTTACTAAAAGTTTCCTAGATGAATGAAAAGCCAAGAGAAATTTGTCTTTCCCTGTATTGGTGTGCTTTGTGCTGAGCAACATTAGTCTAAAATGCTGTGGATTATTTTTGTTGCGTTTACCTTTCAATGCAGGGGAAGCTATTCCTAGTAGACACTACATCTCCCAAATCTCTGACTTCCATTTCCTCCCTGCCACACTTACATATATGTTGTTCCTTTTCACTTTTAGAAAATCTAGTCAGTTCCCTGAAACAGAATCAAAGCCTCACACTGTCATTCACGAAGGCGCTGAGCACAAGGAAACTGTGGAAACGTGGAACCCTCCTATTATCATCTTCATTCTGACAAAGTTTCCCCCTGTTTTCATGCATCTCAAACAGCCCTGGAAACTTCTCTGGCTTAGGTGTGGACTTGCCTAGCAATAAGTAACTATTTTGGATACATGTAATGATTTTCAATTACTATACCAGTTGCACCCATTTGAGTGCTTAAGGAACTATATGGTAGGTAGCAAAAATACACACCTTGAAAAGAGGTGTTCTCTTTGCAAATGAAGCTGTGAGATCAACAAGCTTGCTCTCTAATTCTTCAGTTTATTACAAAGAAATCTGCAGTGAGGAAAAGGCCACCACTCCTGGCCCGTCCTCAGGCAGCCCTGAGGATCCTACACAGGTGCTTCCCGGTTCTCCCAGGAGGCCCCTCGGCTGCACATGGAAGAGGGCCAAGCCCACCTTCCGACTCACTGAAATCTAGCGGAGTCAAAACAGGCACAGGTTTGGAAGATCCACTTGGGAGAGTAAGTAGTGTCTTTTATATGAAAAACAACTTAAGGTGACTATGTAATATTTGGACCTCAATGACTTACTAAGAGTCTTTTGGAAAATTTTATACTAAGCATCACTGAGTCTTTTTACAAAAATTAACTGTATGTGATATTTATGGGCATTTCAGTAAAAATATTGATATTAGGTCCTTTGATCAGGAGTATAATCTGCCACTACAATCTTCTTTTGATGGGGAAACCCAGTATGACCGGCATAATTTTGACTTTTCCAGGAATGCAGACAAAGACCAGTGTGTGCAGGTCGACCAACACATCCGTGACGGTAAGGGCACGCGTGTCCACACTCCACACTGTGGCGCAGTGAACAACCCCCTATCACTACGGATGGTGCTCTCAGTTTGATTACGTTTACAGGCAGGGATCCAGGTGGCATTCCTCTTGATCTAAGAATTCAGCACTTCTCTTCACACCCTTCTCTACCACAGCCCTCCACACTGCAGCCCCTGAGCTGACTACTTTGGCTTGAACCTCTGGCAGGAGAAAGGGGTGAGAGAATTCACTTTCGGCTTCGGTGCTACTTAATCCCTTCCCCCTCTGCCCAGTCCTTTTTTTGACTGTCCTATTTGTCCAAATAGCATTTGGATCATCTTTGGATCCCAAGATTCATAGGACAGCAATGCAGCAAAGCCAGCACACTACATGCTCTCCCCAGCCCGTCCTTTCTCCTGTTCAGTAAATATCAAAACTGCCAAAAAACCAGGGCCCAGGGGATCGCCTCTGCAGCCACGTCCACACCCGTTTACAGCAGTCCTGTCATACAGGTTAGATTAGTTTATGTAGAACAACCCATGGACACTTTGGTGTGGAAAATAGTATTATATAAAGCTTAATATTAAACACTATGAAAAAATACATATTTACAGAAGAAACTACAAAATACAGCTATGTACAATAATATCTGTTACTTTTAAATTACATAAATTCTTTAAAATTCTCCAGATTAATAAATTATACATAGTATCAATAGAAATAGTTGGCACCTCTGTAGGGCATGAAGCGAGTTAAAAAACAAATCACACAGTGAATAGCTTTTCTCCAGGATAGCTTCGGGTGCATCCTCAGTGCCTGGGATAGCCCGCATCTGAAAGGAAGGACACTGTAATTAGAGTTGGTAGCAGGGCACGTCACAGTTGCTGTTCTGCTTCTGAAAATTACAAGTGGGAAAGACCAGTGAAAGTGACTAAAACTCAATATAGTTTAAGGTGAGACGAGCCCTGTGGGGGCCTGGTCATTCCATTCAGAACCATCTCGAATTGGAAAGGACTAGTGATTCTGGGCCAAGCCCTGTGGTTTCACAGATGCGCCCACAGGCCTAGAGAGGAAGAATACCCGAGGGTAACACAGCTTGTTAATGTTATTTATCCTAGAGCTAGGACCTGAATCCTAACATTCAGATGCCTGGTAACTGTAGCATCCTCAGCTTCCTTCAGGAGCACCCAGGATTACTCTAAAAAAAGACTCTTGAGCAAGTCAAAACAAGACAAAGGGACCTCCCAGCTCCCTCCTTCCTGGAGCTTCTTAAAGAACCTGACATGCAGAAACCTTAATTTACTATACAGATAAATTAGGGGGTAATTATTTACAATACAAAAGGATTATCTGGTTACAAAGGACTCCTTTAAATAGCAGTTCTCTCTTGTATTTGTGCTTTACAGTTTACCAACCAACGATTTCACATACTGGCTAATGGGTGGGTGCAGAGAGTGCAGAGAACAAAACAAAACTGAAGATCATTTAGAAATGGAGATAAAATAGCTCTGAAATAATGTTTGTTTGTTTCTAAAAAAAAGGTCTGATGTGTAGACGCTGTCCCTGTGGCAAGGACCTGAGACCTCTGCCACCAGCTCTGTGAGTGAGCCTCTAGCCCCCTCCCTTACCCCCCAACCCCCACCCTCCAAAGGCTGGTAGACATGGCCAATGTCTTGACTGCAACCTCATGAGAAACCCTGGGCCAGAACCACTTTGTTCAGCCCCTCCCAAATTCCTGATCTACAGAAACTGTGAGATAATAAATGTTTGGGCTAATTTGTTAGGTGGCAGCAAATCACGAATGCAATGATTCCGTGTGCTGAATGAAGCTTTAATGATGGTCTGGAGTGGGAAGAGGCATGCAGACCCTTCATTTGTCAAGTAAGTATTGTCTGACCAAAGCAGTGCCTTATAAAGTTTATATATTTTTCCTACTGAATTTTTTATCGAAAAAAAGTTACATGCTTGTTCTAGAAAGTTTAAAAAATCATAAAGTGAAAGAAAACCATATATTATTTTATTGGTCAGAGAAATTTATTTTACTATCGTGGTATATTTCTTTCCAGTCTCCCCTCCCCCCACTATGTGTTGTTTACATTTCTTTTAAATTCTGCTTTTCTTACTTATAAAAATATCCGTGTTATTATATCTTCAAAAATATAGTTTTTTAAGACTGAATTGTATTCTGTTCAGTGAATGTACCATGGTATACTTAGTCCTCCATTATTAAACATTTAGTTTTTTTCACTCAAACTTTTAACTATGAAAAGCTTCATGCATAAATTTGTCAGTACTTAGGATGGAAGTAGAGATACCGGCTGACAAGATAAGAACATATTAAGAACTTTGATACATATCGGCAAGTTTTTCTCCAAAGGGATTTTATAATTTGAACTCCCAGTTGTGATTTCAAAGCATCCTCCCCAGCAGTGATCCTTAGCACTTAGACATGTTAAGCAGAGTCTTTAATAGAGGGCACCCCAGGCCAGGTAGGAAGAGCGAGCAGTGGCATCAGTGTGACCTGTGGGAGTCCCCTCCCCACTCCGCCTCTCTCCCCTGCTGCCCTCTGGGAGGGCCTTCCCTCCGGCCTTTGGGTAGAGGAAGACATAGATGGTGTATGTTGGAAGAGCTTTAAGTCTTCAATGGTTTCCGGATCAATTATATCTTGATAAATGAACCTGTAAGTTAGTGAAGTAAGGTCCTACCTCTGTGATACTCTGGATTCACATTTTCGTAGATTGGAAACAAGGGGTTTTCCTGTTCGCTTCGTAGCTTCCTTGCTCTGAGGACATCTCTTACACACTGATGTAGGTAGACATACTGACACTGTGAAAAGCAGAAAACATGTCAGAGAAAGGCAAGTCCTCAGTACCAAAAAGATGAGAGATTATCACAAAACAAGAACAGTACTGAGATCCTGTAAGATTAGCAAGTTTCTTGATCACCACTTCACTAATGGTCTCTACTACGTAGAAGAGTGACAGCATTCTATTACCACTAAGATGAGAATGATGATAATGGGCAGAGAGGTGGTGTTATTCCTTTTTCTTACATTCATACAATATGTATTTATAGAGTATGTTTTATGGAGGCCAACTACTATCTCTGGCACATGGTATATTCTCCACAAATATTTATTAAATAGATGAATTAATGCCAAACACCATGCTATACATTTTACATATATTATTTCATATTTTGACAACCTTGTGAAGTAGATATAATCATCCATATGAATGAAGACTCAGAGAAATTAAGTAACTTCTCCAAGGTCACAAAGCTAAGAAATGGAACCCTAGGATTTGATCCTGAATTGGCCTCAAACTTCATGTTCTTTTCACTATACCAGTTTTCTTAGATGAATCCTAGTTTCATTATATTATCGAAAGACAAAAGCATGTCACTGTGTATTCTGCTGTTTTATTTCCTTTCTTTTGGGAGTATAGTGAGAAAAAGGAAAGGTATACAATAGACACCAATGGGACTATCAGTTCTTTGAGGGCAAGTTCAGTGTCTTATCTGTCTTGATTCTCTCAGCATTTGAGTCTGGCTCATGGAAGAATCTCAAAGACGTTGGCTGACGGCAGAGAACTACAAAGGGTTACACAGTAGGGATAGCCGCACCTGTCAACTATCCGAGAGCTAACTACTTCAAAAACAGAAACAAATATAGATGAGTCAGTGTTTGGTGACTATAAAGACACCATGAAGACCTCATAGGAGATCAGTCACAGGCAGCTAAACTTGTGCAATGGGCCTCATTCCTTACCAACAACTGAGCTTTCTAATAAGGGAATGTATGTCCATGTAAACTTAGCATTTGGCCTTGGGCTCCCTTAATGACATAGCAACTGCTCCAGGGAAAGAGCAGGTCAGGAAGAGAGCACAACACCATGTGAGGGATGCTGGGCTCCTAGTCTGCATGCACCTGGCCGAGGCTAAATCGTGAGGCTTCTTGGGATCTCAGTTTCTCCATCTGTCAAACAAGGAGGCAAAGGTTTCCTCTACAGCTAACATCCTCTACCATTATCCAGTTAACTGCCACGTGTCCAAAACGCAAACCATCCCACACACCACGATAGACGCTTATGGCATACAAATGGTTATACTCCACTTCAGGGGACACGACTTTGTGTTGCTGTCAACTAGATGGACCCCATGATCGAAGTGGTCAGCCTTAGAGTATTTCATAGGTTGAGACACCAAGTAAAACTATAAGATCTTCCCTCACCAACTATCTTTAAAAGTGAACAAGTATTTATTTTTATGGGTTGGCACTAGGCATTGGTCCTGATTGGAAGTTAGCTTGGTCAGCTACTCAGGGGACTTCATAATGTAGGTCTGGTATAATCATTAGGACAATTCAAAGACAAAAAACAATCATAAATGAGGCCTGCATTAATATTAACTATTCTCTGCCTTTCTGCTCACAAACCTTGCTCACTTGTCATGAGGGTTTTATACCACCTTGATCTTGAAAATTCCAGGAGGGCACTACCCTGAAAACAGTTGTTAGCATAGGCAGTCTCTTTTTGGCCGTCTTGAAAACAACCCACCTGTCAGACAGACACCTGTCTGCTTCCTCCCATCCAGAGCATGATTCACATTTTAATTCTCCTCAGATATTAAATTACTTTGGGACCTGAGCATTCAGTGGTGAATGAGCTCTAATACCTCTATGTGATGCCTTATTAATAAATTCTTCAACAATGATCCACCATGGGCTTTGAGACCAGTTAATATTCATTACTTTGCCTTGTCTTAAATATAAATTCTTTTCCCAATAGAATGTCCTTGAAAAATGATTACGACTGAAACCTTCAGGTTGTTAATGTGCTTCATTCACAAAAAGTAGACAAAGTCTAATATATGAACCTCAATCAAAAGATCATTTTTTGCTCTGTTTAGCTAACTGGTGAAGCCTCAGATCCACTCCATTTTGCCAAAAGTTGTAATATTAGATAATTTTTATAGAATTATACATAAGGCCTTTTCATGGTTCATGAGTGCAGAGTTGAGCAGAGGGGCAAATAAGCATTGCAGGAAGTGGGAATTTTATCTCTCCTTTTTTTTTTTCCACCATAGCAAATGAAATCCAAAAAAAATCCAGATATTATCTGGTTTTGTGTCTTTGAATTGTCCTAATGATTATACCAGACCTACATTATCAAGTTTCCTGAGATATGTGAACAAATACCTATAAGGTGATAAACATAAGTTAGGATTGTATGTAAAGCTTTATACATAAGAAGAAGTGATCAGATTCACTTCTGCGGATGGCAAGTATCAAGCTAGAGAGAAAAGGTGACATCTGTTTAGATTTTGAGCAAAGAAGTAGGACATTCCAAATGATGTAAACAGCATGAAGGTACACATACATTCTGGAAGCTATGAGCAGTCCAGTGTAGCTAAAATGTTGGGTTCATGGGTCACAGGAAACCCCCAGGACAATCTTCCACATTGGCACTGAGATCCTCAGTCCTACAACATCCCACTGTGTCCTTCCATGGGAAGCAGATGAGATTGACAGTCACCTATTGCTCTTTAACAAGTTATTGCTCCATCTGAGCGTCTCTCCAGAGTCAGCTTCCCCCGAGGCAGGCTAAGAGAAGGAGGGACACACTTGCAAATCCCTGCTCTAAAAAGACCTGCATCCCTTTGTGACCCAAATAAGGTAGAATAAAGTTGAGACTGACCATCCCCATGGACCCAGAAAAGTAATCCAAGGGGTCAGAATATCCTTCCTCCTTTGCTGGATCGCACCCTTCCGCACTCACTGCTAGCGTCAACCCAGCCTGCCAGGCTGGGCCCAGGCTCGGAGGCTGTAGGAGCAGCCCACCTCAGCAGAGTCCTAAAGCCAGGCAGATAATATCTGGATTTGTTTGGGATTTCATTTGCTATTGGGGGAAAAATAAGGGAGAGAGACAATTCCCACTTCCTGCAGTGCTGATTTCATCATGAACAGAGGAATCAAAGTTCATCCTGGCCCAGGGAGGGGAACAACCCTAAAACCATGGGGGTGGGTGGTGTTATGACAGGAACATGGAGAAGTAAGCTGGGGCCAGGTTACAAAGAGGCTTGGACACATGGATGAGAGTTTGAACTTCATTTTACAAGTGATGGAGAGCTTTCTAAGATTTCTGTGCCAGGAGTTACAAGAGTGAGTTAGCTAGAGAACTTGGTTGGTGGCAGTGGTGATGAGGAGTTGTCCGGGCAGACGCTGGAGACAGCAGACTCACTGGGAAGCCACTGCAATATGCCCAGTGAGGGCTGGGAAAGGATGGGCAAGGGCAGGGGCAGTGGGAGAGACATTAGGACAGAGAGAAAGGTGCTGGCAGAATTGACAGGCCTCGGTGGCTGTCTGAATGCGAGAACTGTGGGAAAAGAAGTCAGACCCCGGGCTTAGGCGATCAGATGGACAACTGAAACACTGTCACCTGAAACCGAAAGGAGCGAGAGCAGCAGTGCTTTCGTTGTTATCACTGCGGTTTGTGTTTTGAAAGATAGGTGACGAGTTGTTTGAGTCAAGATGACTGGAAGGCTTCCAGGAGGACCTGTCTGGCAGCCAGGTGCTTAGGGGAATGCTGGGAAAGGAGAATGAGATTTGGGAAACATGGGCGTGTACGGGAGTGGGGGCCATCACAAAGAGTAAAGGTAGAGGCAGAAGAGCAGCACCTTGAGGACAGAACCTCAGGGAAATCAAGCCATGAAGAGGCACCCTGAGGAACCAGAGCCACAAAATCCTCAGAGAGGCAGGAGAACAGACTGGGAAAAAGAGTTATGTCCAAGAGAAGGAGGGCAAGCTTTGCACATCATGGTACCCCTACCCTGGAAGTCACCTAGTGATATTTACGATAGGGAGTGCTCAGAGCTCTGGGCAGGTGTGTGGAAGGGACACATGACCCCAGAGGCCTCTAACAATAACCAGGGAGTCTGAACACACACACACACACACACACACACACACACACACACACACACGCTTTGAGACAACTTTAAAGGTGATAACCTCCTTTTCTTAAGATACAGATTAAGTATCGGCTTGAGTTTGCAGAAGTGACAAACTAATAATGAAACATTGGCACTGACGTTTTAGCAATGTAATTGTGAAATATTTGTTCATTCATTTAATAGACAAAAATCCTATCTAATAATAGACAAACATGGTAATTGACCGTACCTTTGCTATGCCTCCCATTGGCTAATCAGCGCGATATGCAAATTAACTGTCAACAAAGATGGCGGTTAATTTGCATACGTAGGCTCCAAGCAGTGGAGCGAAGCCTGACGGCCCGGGGCGGACGGAGCAGCGAGGCCTGACGTTTCCAGGGCTGGCGGAGCAGCAAGGCCTCACGGCTCTGGGGCCGGTGGAGCAGCGAGGCCTCACGGCTCCGGCGGAGCAGCAAAGTCTGACGCTTTCTGGGGCCGGCTCTGCCTCATAACTTGGCCAGAGCGAAGGGCTGGGCTCTAGGTGTCTGGAGGCAAACCCGGTGCTAGCAGCTCAGGGAAAAGGAAAGGCCTATTGCACGAATTCTCTTCATGCAACAGGGCCTCTAAGG